CTAAATCCTCACAGTGGCAGGGGGTCTCCATTAGCCAATCGCTCGCTGTAAGCCCTGGGGCTTTTGGGGGTCGCCACCCCCAGCTCACTGCCAGATATGGGATGTTATCTGCCCCCTTGTAAGGGGGTGGGGTAAGTAGGGCTGGGGTCTGCTCCCTCCTCTGCCTGCCCTCCTCACCCCTTCCCAGGGCAGGATCAGCTCTCCCAGCCCACACAAAACCAGCCCAGCTGCCCCTCTTCCCCCAAAGCCCTGGGCTCACAGGAGAGCTGATGGGATGAAGGCAGCTCATCCTTATCTGGGGGGACCAGCGATGCTCCTCACACCCCAGTTTCTGCTCAGGGCGGCACATCACTACCCTCACATAGCATCTCGTCCCCAATATCCCACCATGCCAGAATCACTCTGGTTCAAAAATCTCCACCCTAAAAGCAACGAGGCAATAAACCCCAAAGCCTGTACCTCACCCCCAGCATCGCCTCTGCTGTAGCCCCCCCGGCTCTTTACCATCACTCCTAAAAAATCAGCAGCTAGGGTGCAGTCTCGTTGCTCCATTTGCAAATACGACCCCCACCTCCCCACCCTAAACTTCACCGATGACCCCCTGCTCTAATCACTGGGTGCCCTCGTTACACCACCAGGTAGCAAAAAGGACACTTTGAGTGAGAATTACTTTTCTCAATCAAGAAGTGCTTCTTGGCAGGAGGCCGGTTTCCAGCTGCCTCTGTCTGTATTCACCTTCAGAGGTCACTTGGACCATGCCCCAGAGGTGTGGGCAGCTGCTGGGCCCTGCAGGCTGCCCCAAAACCAGCACAGGGAAGTGGGCAGGTGGCTGCGAGCACCAGGACACAGGACGGCCACTCCCAAAAGCCACTTTCATTTTGTTCTTATTCCTTCACTCCCCTCCACTACGGATTTCTAAATCATTTTTGTTGGAAGCAAATTAACAAAGTGACTAATTTTCTGCTCCCTTCCCCATGCGATGGGTCCTAAAACTGAGGGTAGGGATGATTCATACCACGACTTCAACAAATTTCCTAACTGGGACTCGGAATTTCAAATGCTGACACTAACGAAAAAGAAAAAAGGTATTAAAAAAAAATAATGCTCTCAGATCTCACAGCATCATTTTATTTCCTGGTGCTGCCATCTCCCAGCCTCCCTGAAGCTGTCGAGCTGAAGGAGGAGGAGACAAAGGAGCATTTCTACACGTGTGGGAGGATGCGTGTTTTGCACTGCTCCTGCAAACCACTATCCTGGTGGTTGCTGGGACGCACGAGGGCTCGGTGATCTCCCTGGGCCTGAAATAACACATGGCCAGCCAAGAAAATTGGCCCATCACCCTCCTTACAGAAGCGAGGACCACCACCGATTTGCAGGGGCCGCCCTCACATCCCCCACAGGGACTCTCAGAAGCTGAGACGGCACCTTACAGCCAAGGATTGCAAACACTTTGCAAGTGCCTTTCTCTCACGTTTTGCCACACACAAGGAAAAAAAAAATCTGGTTAGGAAAAAAATCCCCAGTTTTGCACTCAACAGCAAGGCCAGCTGTAACCCAAATCCCAAAGCATCTCCAAAACGCCTCTGAGCTGCATCCCGTGCACCTCTAACAGAGCTCCTAACAAGCACTGTCTGGGACGAGCGTGAAGGCTTTGAGCCAAGCATCCCGCTGGTGCCGAGGTTTCATCTGTTTTGGGAGGTTTGCTTGCCTTCCTCGCTACATCCACTTCCCTGGCAGAGCGCTGGGTCCGGGGCCAAGCAGGCAGGAGAGCAGCAGCACAGGGAGAGCTTCCAGGCAAGCCTAATTTAAACTGCAAAAAGCCAGAAGACAAGCGTTTCGAGTCAGAGTTTAGGCTGGGGTAGAGTTATAAAGACTTGTCATTAATAAAGATGTATTTGTACTTGATGACCCACCATCCAAGGAGGACCAAGGTGTTCGCAGGGCTCTGAGTCCCTTTGGATGCACTCTGGTGGTACTCTCAGTCATTTTATTCCTGCTTTGAGCCTGATCCTCTTGCTCCTCTCCCGCCCAGTGCCGGGGGGTGCTCACCCCGGTTGTGTGCAGGCACACGAGTAAGAAAAACCCCAAGACCTGAGTAAACAGCAAGTGGGGAGGGGAAGGAAGGAGTGGCCTCGCTGCCAACCCGCATGCCGTAGTGCCAGCAGGTTGGCCCTGACTCACTGCCACGGGTCAGCTGCTGCCGGGACGCACCCACCAGCTATTTCATACTTCCTGAGGTTCCTCCCTGTCTGCAGCACTGGGCCCAGCTCCTGGGCACCAAAGGGCTCCTTGTTACTCAGGTGTGGAGAAGTGACCCAACGTGGAGAAGATCCCCAGGGAACGGAGGGCTCCTGATGGTGCTTATCCTGCAGCAGGTTGGAGGGGACAGGCTGTGGTCCAGGCTCCCCTCCAGCCCATTGACAATGTCCTCCTGCCTCAGGTCTCTCTTGAAGCAGCATCATCTGCCTTCCACTGGGATGTTGTGGGGATAGAGCAGGTCTGCTGGGCTTTCAACATCACGTCCGTCCCAGGTCAGAAAGTGACACCGTGGTCAAAGGCTGAAGCTGTGGCCAACAGTTGACACCACTGGCAGGTCCAGCTCTGGGAGATCAGCCACAGCAAGGCTTGACACTGTGGCACCTCCCCAGCTGACAGGTTCCACACTGGGTGGAGATGATCGTCCACGGCTCTGAACAAGCTGTCTGTGCAGCAGACTCTGGTAAACAGTGATGGTCACTGCCACCACAGCTTTTTGCCACCAGGCAAAGCCCTTCCCACAGTCACACGGTGCAGGATCTTTCCACAGTGCCATGCTCATCCTGAGGATGCAGGCCCCAGGATCCTGGAGGAACACCATCTCCTGGCCTGGTGCAAAGCAGCTGAGAGG